TACAAGTAATTACAGGGAACACCTGCTGTCGTCGTTAAATGTTGTAAATCCCAGTTACTTTCCTTTTTTTTAAAGGTCTCAGTGCTACAAATTTGTACAAGACGCAAATATGACACCAATACAAGCTGAAGTTTCCACATGCTAACGCCACTTTTAATTAGTTCAGCATAAAGTTGAAGGCGCTGCACGTAAAACTGATTTTAGACGCACTCTTACAAGATGTTATTGTAAAATAATCACGTTTCCACCACATATTGTACTGTTAGGAGCAGACATATTGGAAAAGGAGAGAGAAGTTTCTTTTTTTGAATTCCCTTCCCTTTATGCTTTTCTGTTAAATCTAAATACATGTGACAGTACATATGTCATATTTTGCTTAGAAAACATAACTGTGTATATTTTTTACACAAGTTTATATTCTTTTAAAGTAATTTATTAATATTTGCCACAATCTCACATTTAATCCAATGTAATTCTGCTTTTTCTGCTAATATTTTTAAAAGTCTGATTTTCAATATTTTGGTGCATTAAAACTCTAAGTAACTTTTATATAAAATATTTTTTATATATATTTTGTTAAAACTATCACCATATCATAACAGTTTATGATACATAATCTGTAAAAAGATCGATCTCCTACTTTATTTAGCTCATATTGCTGTCTGCAGAAACGCACCGCTCCCGACCAAAAACAGCCAATCAGAGCCAGGAGGAGGGTCTTAGTGCTGTCAATCATCCTCATGTACTCGCAGTTTGATATGCTAATGGCTGAGAAACAACTTAACTTACAGGAAAACTGTTTACCCGCCACGGTAACTTGCATTAGCATTCACAACAGGCTTTGCTAGCTGTAGAGTAGCAGAGATCAATGAGATTGTGATTGACAGCGCTAAGACCCGCCCCCTGGCTCTGAATGGTTGTTTCCTGTTAGCACTGGGAGAAGGAATTATTTATCACAGATTATCTGTTATAGCATACTGCCACGACATAGTGACAGTTTCAATAAATATGTAGAAAAATCTATTTTTCATTAAAGTTACATACCGCAGCTTTAAGTATAACTTGTAACTGTACCTTAATTTTTAAAGTTTATAATTTAACAGACCAGTTTGTGTGATAAATTAAAGGACTCCCAATCAGAGGTGAGCAAAGTGTTCAAACATTATATTCAAGTAAAAATAGCACTACTTCAACATGTTTTTACTCAAGTAAAAGTGAAAAGTATTTGGTAAAAAGTCTACGGAAGTACTGATCAAATTATCAATCATTTAATATTTAAAAATTACATAATCAGACAGATCAAAATATAAAGTTAAGTGGAAATGTATGTATTTTATGAACCAAAATTACAATAATTCATGTAAGTGACAAAAAATAACAAAATCAGGCAAAAGAAAATTTTTCCTCTCAGTAAAAAACTTTTAATAAAACCAGCAGGTCTGAGTCTGAATCTGGTGAAATTTTGGATAAAACGTGTTTTATTTTCATTCAGTAGGTAGAAAATCCAGAAGTTTTACTCAAGTTAGAGTAGAAATACTTCATAATAAAATTACTCAAGTAAAAGTACTCCTAAAAGTAATTTTTTTAAAGTTACTCAAGTAAATGTAAGTAGTCACTGGCCCTCTCTGATTCTTCAGGTTTAGGTTTCCAGGAATCTGTTGGATTTAAACTTAAATCTCCCCAAACCTGAGTGTCTCCAGTCACGTCTGTGTCGCCTCTCCATGTGTCTTGCGTCTGTCGTCGTGGCAACAGTGTGAGAGTGACCCGCCCCCTCCTGTGTTTCTGCATCCTCATAGGACAGGGAGGGGGAGCTCGCGCTGATTGACAGGCTGCTGGCCAATCCGCAGCTCTCGTCGGCCGAGTTCCAGGAGTGGAAGCGAGCCTATCAGGACCTGTTCACTCAGGACCAGAACTCCGTTGCCGAACCCGAACCTGAACCCGAACCCGCCGACCCGGGACCGCCGCCCCTCACCCCCTCGCTGTCCCACACGCACTCCTACATCGAGACGCACGTCTGACCTGTTAAACGCGGACAGTTAAGCCGTCTCGATTGTTCAGATGAGTGTCGCAGGGCGGGACCGGTAGTGACGGACTGACTCGTGGTTTCCGCTTCCCGATCGGTTCGCTACCACAGATTACGGAGGAGCGCCTCACGCCGAGCGGCGACCTGTCGCCTCGAGCCGCTCCAGCTCACGACAGGTGCTAGATCCTGTTAGCTTCTGTGCTCTGTTCCTTCGAAGATCATTTCCTGTGGATGGTTCCTCCCCATCACCTTCATAAAAAGCGAAATCACAGAATGTATCTCGACTCATCCTGCTTGTTGTGCCATGTTTACACTGAGTGCACAGTGTCTCATAGCCAGTAAGTTGACGCTTTTTACTCCATAAAGCCTTATACTTGATTATATTGATATTATTAACTGTACAGTGAGTGTCACAGCGAACCACAATGAGATCTTTTTTAAACTCTTGTTTTTATTTCTGTTTAGATTTAGAGGCTTTTGTTTGTGCAGATTTGGTAGAAATCTGTATAGTGCTGGGCTGGACCTGAAGCATGCACCCTCCTTCTGGAACAGGAGCCATTTAAGGGAAAAATCCACCCTAAAGTAGTTTAACACAACGCTTAACAAACAGAACATTCATCAACAAACATCCTGCAAAAACACAAAGTATAACTTCTTCAGCAAATATCTTAATATAGTAACTCAAAAGTTACTTTTCAGCAAGAAATTGGATTTTGTTTTAAGTCAATAATCCATTAATATTGACTTAAAAAGTACTTGTTCTATTGGCAGATTATTTCACTTATGACAACACATTTTTCCATGTTCTAAGTTAAATATAACTAGTAATTTTTAATCAATCTTAAGGAATTAATGACTGTTATTTCTTTCTGAAAGGTTACTTTGAAGTCAGTTTTGTCTTATTTCAAATGTACTCAGATATTTGCACTAGAAACTAGGAAAAAAATACTTGGTAAGATTTTTTTGTTTTTACAGTGATAATATAAACATTTAATTTAATCTGCTTAGAAACCCACATTATTAAATAATTAAATATTTACAGCAAACATCTTAGAGAATGTTATATATCAAATATGAGATAAAAATAATCTTTGCTCTGAACATGACAGAAAAAAAATCCACACAGAGATAGTTTATCATAAAAATCTCAGAAGCATTGTTAATGTTTTACCCAAGAAAGCTTTTTGAATGTATTTAACTTCATTTTCCACAAAATGGTTACTATATATAAAATATATATATATATATATATATATATATATATATATATATATATATATATATATATATATAATAAAGAAAATTTAGAAACGCAGTGCCTTGAAAAAAATTATCCAAACACCTTAAACTTTTGCACATTTTATCACATCATAGCCACAAATTTAAATGCGTTTTATTGTTTTTTTTTTAAATTTTTTAATGACAGGACTTCACACCAACACATAAAGAAGCCATGCATTTTAATTTCCTTTTAAGATTTAATACAATATCACATAAAAATAATAAAATACATCAGAATTTGTCGGGTAATGTGATAAAATGTAAAAATATTTAATACAGGGTTTGTTATATGCAAACCCTGTATTAAATATGTATTCTTACATATTTTAGCTTAATTACTGAAGAAATATTAAACTGAATTAAATATAAACAGAAAAATATATTTTATTTGTAATCCCCATTATTGAAAAAAATACTTAAATATGTATTTATTCAGTAAATACATAAATCTGTAGATGTAATAACTAAAGAATCCCCGATATCGATCATTTATTAACGGTATAAAATTCTCCAGGGGTGGATTTTTCCTCAGACTCTTCAGCTTTATTTTAGGCGTGTGGCATCAAACATATGAGGAATATTTACATAGGAAATAAAACTTGGATCTATTTAAAATGTTAGTCTATTTCTATGCTTCTGCCAGAAGATGTAATGTATCTGAGACGTTTCACAGACTACGAAAGCAATCATAAATATGTAATAACTTGCACTGACAAACACTGTTTGTTTGCTCCTTTTATGCTGCTGCCCGTGGTTGGTTGTAGTAGCATGTTTTTGCTGTAGATCAAAACAATATCCATTTTATGTTTTGTGTTTAAAACTATAATAGATCTCTATTTATAGAGTGTAAACTGTCTTGGAAGAATATCTTTAATTATATCAGGGTTTCTTTCTGCAAACTGTCATTGTGTAAAGAATGTTTAGTGTTAAATCTATAAATTATGGTTAAAAGGTATTTATTTATGTGTTCATTCTTCATGTTTCGCTGGAAGAAGAGGCTGGATCAATAAAGTTTTAGTCATTTGGATTAGAGGCTCTTTTTATTTGTCTGTTTTTTATCAAAAAGAGATTCGAGGCTGAGGAAAACTGACATTTTGGCTGAGAGGAATTATTGTGAACTGATCTGAACAATGTCATTAAATGCAAATACAATAAAAGAAAACAGCAAACCATTGTTAATTTATTATAAAACATAACTTATTAGCTATAAAATCTACATGTCCTCTGACAACATCACAACAAGAATAAATTGTATTATCAAAAGTATCAGAAGTGATGAGTAAACGTAACTTTGGATGTTTTTGTCACAAAATACTTAGTTATGTTTTTTTTCTATTATTTTGTAATAAATAACCAATTATTGACCTTAAAATTAACCAAACTACTTTGGCTTCCTCTACCTTTTGTGTTTTACTCAGGTTATCTTGGAGGTGTTTGTTTTGCTTATATGCAACATTTATTAAAGAGAAATAAAATATAAGAACAGAAGAAATCTGTAATATGATAAATACATTTTCACTGTACTGTAAATAAATCTATAAAAATGTGCAAAGCTAGTAATTCTATAAAAAAATCATTCAAAAGCTGCTATATGTAACTTTTATAAAAATCTGAAAAAAATCAAGTTCCTCTGCCTTTTCCCAGTGCTAACTATAAACGACAATCAGAGCCAGGAGGCGGGTCTTAGCGCTGTCAATCATCCTCTGTCAACCTTCAGCTGCAGCTAGCATAGCATGTTGTGAATGCGCAGGCTAGTTAGCATGCACACAGATATCCACGGATAAACGGTTTTCCCATTACGGTAAGTTATTTCTCTGCCATTAGCACATTTAGCAGCGAGTATCCAGATTTGATTGACAGCGCTAAGACCTGTTACCTACTGCAGCTTTAAGGTGGAAAGTAAATGTGTTGAGTGTTGATCAAATTTTCATCTCGGACAACTCATTTCTACCACTGGCATTAAAGCTTTCAGCAACAGCTTTTTATTTCTCTTCATGGCAATTGAACGAGATAATTCAACAGTTATTCTGAAGGTGATACTTTTCTTATAGATGTTAAGGTTGGGTCTATTAGTCCGGCAGAGGCAGCAGAGTGCACTCAGTGCCAGTCAGAGGTCTTGGGAGCTGGGCGATTTCTCTCCACTGATCTTTCTTCGTATCATACTCCAGCACGTTCCTTACAGTCACCTGCTGTCCGTCGCTCCACCTCCTACCGCCGAATACCAGCAGATTCCCACCTGCCATGGTTAACATCCCGTAGTTGAACAAGCCGTTTGCGAGTGGTTTGAGGCGGGTCCAGTGGTTCGACTGAGGGTCGTACCGTTCAATGTCACAAAACTGCTCGTACATCCCCAGCAGGGCATAAATGTAACCGTGGGCGGTTGCCAATCTATGACCAAACCTTGGGATGGACATGGATGCCCTCTTTTCCCAGACTGTGGGCTTCAGGTCCCAAGAGATGCATTCACTACTTATTTCCCTGTTTACATCCTGGTTACTAACATGGATGCGGCCCTGGTGGGCAGGGAGTCCTCCTGTCACATAGATACTCTTGTCAAGCACGGTAGATGCGTGGCCGTGAAGAGGGTAAGGCATCGCTGCAGCTCTCCGCCACACTCCTGAAGCCATGTCGTAATACTCAACAGAAGCTAAGGAAGTGTACGTCATGGAGTTCGGATGTGACTGTCGTCCCCCAATAGCATAAATGACGTCCTCCACCACGCAGAAGGTGAACTGCACCCGCCTCTCCAGCATGGACTCCATCTGCTTCCAGTGGTTGAAGCGTGGATCGTACCTCCAGACTTGGCTTGAGGTCGACACAGTGACAGACTTCTCATCGCTATTTTTCATGTCTTCACCGCCAATCACGAAGAGAAAACCTCCCACTGAACAGACGCAGGCATTTCTGAGTCTCAGAGGTAGAGCAAAACCTGGCGATGAAAACTTCCTGCTACAGGTGTCGAACGCCAGCACCTGTTGCTCTGGCCAATCAGGGCTAACCCCACCACCAACAAGAAGCACATGATTGGGTGATCCTCTAAGGGTCGACTGCCTGCTTTGTGCTGTTGGCTGAGCTGAACCCATATGATGGTACTCAAGAGCCCGAGTCAGCTGACTTCTGATCAGAGGAGTGGCCATGGCCCTATTTCCATGGCAAAGGTCAGAAAGCTCTGAAGGCGCAACCAATCCGAAGCGTAGACGACTCAGTAGAAGGTTTGACTTTAGCAGTGGAAGGGGCCCATTTTCATCCAGCCAGTCTAGAGAAAGTCTTATGAGATCCACTTCCTTGACCCCAGGTATCTTGTCTGCATCTAGCACTGCCATCAGCGACGGAAAGTTCAAACCAAGGAGAACAACCCTGCTTTTCTGCAGCAGAACCGACATCTTCTTGGCAATGGTTTGATTTGCAGCCTCAAGTGCATTCAGGAGGAAGTGTTGCTCAGCCAGATTGGCATAGTAGCAGCAATTATCAGCAGTTAAGCCATCCGCCATAAATCGCTCGCATATTGACAGCGCCGCCTCCACCTGGAGGTACCGGGCTGCTTCCACAACAACAGGAAGTGTGGAGGAAGAAATGCTCAACCACCCTGAGTACAAGAAATCCAAAATGGCTTCCAGACCCTCAGGCGTCAGCGCCGGGAGTCTGATGGAGTCTGCTGATCTCTCTGTGGTTGTCTCTCCAAAAAGGGCCCAGAAGTAGTCACTGGAGCTCGCTAACAGACTGCGATGACATGGGAAGGAAACACCGCCTGCTTCCAGGACGACATCGCACATCTTCTTCTGATCCCGCAAACGCTGGAAGCCAGAGAGGAGTCCGGTTCTGTGTGAGGAACTGTAGAGGAGTGAGTAGGTATCCATGCATAAGTTCTGTCAAGAAGAAGAAAGGACAACAGTTTTTTTGCTGATGTGTTGCATGAAAGAAGACTGGAAGAGAGTGTCCTCAGTTGAGCTCACTCCATCTGTGTTTTAGTCCTCTTCTGTCTGCAGAAGCTGTTATCCGACACCATGATAGGGAGGTCATGACAGCCCCCTGCACATACACATCAACACAGCCCTGTGACCCGTCCCTCTTTGGCACTGAGACTTGGCGCTCTTGTCTATGTCTGGGACACTGGCGCTGTTGGCTTTGTGTTTGTCAGCTGCCCTTTACTCCGAGTCCTCTAGGGAGTATCCCCCAGGCGCATGCCTTCAATTTAATATCAACCAACAAACAAACATTGTGTTATCCAACAGAGTTGGACGGACAGGGAGCCAGATTGGGGTTTGAGTGTCTATCTCTGTGGATGAAGTCATCTGTAAATACAGCTGCTGCAGTCAAGGCGTCCAGGAATCTGATGGGCACGGTTGATAAAGCACCTTTCTGTCAGGAATAGAAACAGCTTAGAGGATTCATCTGGAAGGACAATACTATGAAAGCTGGACTCTAATCTTTTAAACTGGATTTTATTGATACAATCCAGAATTTTGATCTCTTGAAACTTTACCAGCAGAACATTTTAAGAGATGCTAATGTATGACGACAGAAACGGTAATTTCATCTGAATCAAGGTGATTCCAAAAGAGCCATTAGTAGAAACTATTAAAGATGGAGAAACTTTCAGGTTTAGTTCTGTTTTAGTTTGTTTTGAAACACACAATTCTAATTAGTTTTAGTGTTAATAATATAATTTGTTTTTGTGTTTATGAATTTTGTATCCCACATAAGCAGCTGACATTGGCTGCCAGCAAATTAAACTAGTCCACAAAATGGCGACAGTAAAAGTTGGGAAAAAAACGCCAGTTCGTTGGTTGTTCAACAATATTTTTATATGTTTTTGAAATTGTTTTCTTCTGTTGAGTATCCATTACCAAATCATTGTAGACATAATCACAATACAATACTTTGACTTTTTGAATTCTGCACCTGAAAGTTATCAAAAATAGGAAAAAACTAAAATTACTACTTATAACTAAGCAAGATTTAGCTATTAAGTATTAAAAACTAACAGACTCTAAAACTATTTAAAACTAACCAAATTGGACAAAAAGTCACAATAACAAAACTAAAGTATAAGAAACTATGATAACCCTACCATTCTTCACTAATTTTGATGAGTAAAATAAACTTTGCACAAACTCTGTCCAAGAGTTTTTGAAATTGAGTTTAGCTTGATCTGGGATGTTTTAAAACTTTTCCACATCACTAAATGTGAGGGTTTTCCTCTGAGGTGTTAGAAGTAGCCCGTTGCTGTTGGTATCAGGGTAATCCTGTCCCCTTTGGGGAGGCATTTAACCTCCCTCTGACCTGCAGAGTTTCACAGCCACAAGATGGATGTCACTGTATTATTTTTATGCAGCAGAAGAGAGGGAGCAGGAGGGAAAAACAGCGCGCCTACAAGCTTCCCAGCATGTTTATGGATGTATCTGATTAATGTTCAGCTACTGTCAGGGCTCAACCATGAAAACACGACATGCTGAGAGACATTTAAATGTGAATTTTGATACCCCAGCAAATGAGTTTGCATGTTTTTGTTGGCGTCGTAGTATATTCTTCAAAGTCCAGTACATTGCTTTCTCGTTGAAGTGAAAACCATGTTCCTTTTTATCTTTTATAAGCTGCAAAGAGTTTTTAATCTTTGGCGCTCGGTGTCGGGAGTGTTTGTTTGGGTGACTATTCCTCCTTGACCTGATGGGCATCTAATCTTAGCTGCAGCTGCTACATGTGAGCGTTTATCTATGTGCAAAGAGACACGTGATTTGGTGATGGATTTGTGCTGTAATTTCTGGGGGTATGTGTGTTTGCTAATGTTGACACCTCCACCTAAGAGAATACAGAAAAAAATAAAGAATAATAACAGGAGACAAATTTTATGCTTTGGCAGGGCTCAGAAAAACTTCAGGAATTAAATGATTTAGCCTTGAGGTAACCAATCTCACATCTTTGCTATGTCAATCTCCTTAACACCCACCTGAGAGGATTAAATGTCTCAGCCAAGATTAAATCAGTTTTTAATGTGTGATCTTCACAGTATTACTTTCACAGTCAATCATCCTATTTCTGGATGTTTTTCATACCAGAAACTGTTCAACAAATCTGCTGGCAAGATTATATGTTTAGGAAAGCAGCAAAATTATTTGAAAAACTAAAGCTGCTACTTACTGTTGGGGTATTTGGTTTAAAAACCTAAACATGATGAGACGATTAAAAACTGTAAACACTAAATCAGTAATGCAGTTTGTTCTTGACCGTTAGCTATTGCTAGCTGAAGGTGTAAACTCTGTTGAACTTTTAAACAATTGGGTCTGATTTTACCCGGTCGTTAACGTTTAGCCGTGCGCTAGCTCGATGAGACTTGACGGAAATGACCTGCACTGTAAACAAATGGAGAAATTGAGTTCAATGGAAGAAATCCCAGACAGAACTGAAGGAAATGAGAATCAAGCAGAAAGATAATTTCGAGGGTAATAAAACTGAGACAATTTTTACGCCTTTTTAATCTTTCATGAAACAGAAGATTGAAAAAGTTTGTTTTAGGTTGACTTCTAGATTCTGCACCTTTGAGCCTCTTTTAAAGGTTTATTAACTCTTCTGCAGCTGGAGTGAGAGATTGGTTTATTAGTGTACATTTTAGCAAAGCAATAAAATCTTGTCTTGTTTTTAATTGATCTCAGTGCTGCTTTTGACACTGGAAATATGTTTGAATGGCTCACATCTTATTTGCCAGATCAAAACTTTGTGCCACCTGGCAAATATAAAAATGAATGAACAGAAATTACACGTGGAGTTCCCTTAAGGCAGTGTTCTCGACCCACTTTTATTCAATATCCATATACAAATGTGGAAAAGTTGGGATACACTATGAAAACCTATGTGTTTTTCTAACATTTTTTGGACTTACACAGATTACATTTCAATTTCCCCAACACTAAGAAATTAAAGTAACAACACAAAATAATTAAAATTTCTAAGTTTTGTAATATGTGATTTAAAAATGCCATTTCCCTGCATATTTTTACCAATTTACAATGGCTGAAACCTGACCTGCCTCGATCTGAACCAACTACAGGAAAATGGTTCTTTCTGGGCCCTTCAGTGTTGCTAATGCTACTTATTGTACTGAAATCATACCTGATCTCATCTCCTTCAGCACCCATTTGCTGACGGACTTCCAAAATTAGAAATGTCACATTGCAAAACCAGCGTTGAATGAGCAGCTCTTGACATTCAAAATGGCGGTGCTCAGCAGAAACCCGACAGGCAAGACTTCAGTGTTTGTTCACTTTCTGGGTCACTGTTCTGTCCAGGATGTTTTACAGGTTTTAATGTTGCCATACAAAAGATTTAAATAGCTGTCATCTTATTACAAACTTATTAGATGGAAAGTGGATTTATTTGAATCACCTCTAAACTATGGAGGATAATGAGTGATCTTTAGGGATCACTGGTCTAAAACAGATCCATATGTGGTGAAAGGTTGAAAAGAAGTCGACTTTAAGAAGTTACCTGGCATCTAAATAACGCTGGAAATTGTTAAAAGACATATATGTCCCTCATTTTCAACATGTTTTTCATGATTGTCCACAGAAAATGGCTGTACAAAGCCTAAGAGATATAATGTTGAAGAGAAAACCGGCCTTAAAGTCAAATCTTTAACTTTACTATTTGATTGACACTCCATTTCTCACCTAAGCCCTTGAGCCAAAATGTGACTGAAACATAGAGATTGGAAATACAAGTGGCTGAAATTGGTTTCCTCCCTAAGGAGTCTGGATTCACATCGAAGGATTGGGGAAAATAACTCGGAATGAACCAGGTTTTTAGCTTTACTACGATTGTCATCTGCAAAACGTATTGTAAAGATGTTTTAGACCTCAGAGTAGATCAAGGATTTCCTGGTAAAGATAATTTATCATAGCTTCCTTGGAAAATTCTTCAAATCCAATGCAGATTAACAAAAAATATAGACCTTAACCCTAAGGAAGAATCCATATTAGCAGAAAAAGCTGCGCAAAACATTGTTGATATTCTATGAATGTCAAAAAACACAATTTCAGAATTATAGTGCTTCCATTAAATAAAAAAATGCAATAAAATTCACACGTGGATAACTTTGTTCAAGCAATAGATTATTAAAAATTGTCACACCATCTTCCTTCTACCACTTCCTGTCGTCTTCTTTGTCATTTCCACCAGTAGTAACATCTGATATTTGATCATGACTCAAAAAAAAAGTGTTTCCATTGCAGTTTAGCAAAATACACTAATTTCGATACAGCTGAGAAACTGCCTCATCCTGGGCAAAAACATTTTACTGAAAATGTGAGTTTTTTCTAAATTGGCGCGTTTCCATTAATCTCTTTGTTTCACAGTTGGAACCACAAGTGTCATCACTTTATTTTATTACAACCCATCCCACGGTTGTCATTGACAAACCCAAAATTTCAAAAATATGGTAACACTCAAAAATAAAAATAAAACAGACAATAAAGATACATCCTCAAATAAAGGGCAACTAGATTTTTCCCTTCTCATCCAGAAGGTTTCTTCAGTTCTGAACATAAGCAGGAAGTACCGGAGTAAGTTACGGTCAGAGCAATCATTCGTCATTATATCCGATTACTGATGCTACCGGTCGATTGGTGTGATTGTTGACTAAAGTCCTGTTGCTTTTTATTCAACCACTGAAAATCTACACCAGTGTATAAAATGAAATTTAGCTACATTTATTTGATTTCCACTCAGTAACAGATGTTTTGGTGTAGAAAAACCAACCAACATATTATTTTTTTATCTTTTAGCTTAACAGGAAATGACAAAATGGGTCTGTTGTTTTTTTATAGGTTTTACTGTGATAATATTAATTTTCTGGAAAACACAAAAACATCAACAAAAATATAAGTAATATTTACCTCCAATCCCCAAGCAACCAACCCTTCAGTTGATACAGTAGAAATATTTAATCACAGGCCAGTTAAAGTTTAGGAGTAGATGAACTGCTTAGTTTTACTTCAGTAATATTACTATTCGAATAAACTCTACTCACTGCAAATAACTTCACTGAATGAAGAATAAACATGTCTTAACCAAAATTGGACACTCCTACAGTTTATGTTGAAGTGAGACCTCTTGTTAATAGACAAGCTTTGTTGTCCTAATATTATTTGCTACCTGCTGAGACGTTTGATCAATAAAATACAATAAACACCAAAAATAACGTTCTTACATATACAGCATATATTACCTGCTTTAAGTATCAGTTTCATTAATTTGTATTGAAAATATAAATATATATTTGAAAGTGTTTCTCTTGTCTGAATTATTTTATTACTATGTTGTCTGATGAAATCATTTTAAAATATAGTTACTTGTAACTGTTTTTACTAAATACTTTTGAGTAATTTCTTGAACTTTTTACTTTTACTTGAGTAAAAATATGCTGAAGTAGCGCTACTCTTACTGGAGTTTCTGTCTACTCAACACAACTAATGCGGCGCTAAAGAGCAGAAGTGTCTAAAATTTAACTGCTACAATGTTAATTAATTTTGTTTTGGGATAAAGGAGTATTCTTTAAATGTGTTTCATTCTAAACTAATAAACTAAACAAACCCTAAAATACTTAAATAATGGCTAACACCTCTCATCTTATTCAGTGAGTCCAAACAGAAAATTTCTACTTTTTTAAAATATAAATTAGCTTAAATGTGTATTTTAATCTGAAATATCAAATTAGTGAAAGTTTCTAGAGGTAAATTTAGACAGGTTGTTGGGGTTCCTCTGATATCTTGTAGCTGCAGTGTTTCTACTCTTTCACAGCAGAGGGAAAGTCAGTTTGTGGAGATTATCGTCCGTCTTCCTCAGCTCAGTTTCCTGCAGGAGAAAAGAGAAAATCTGCAGTGAGGGATTTTATTTGGCAGCTATCAACGAAACGGCAGGAATCAAATTATCCAGATCTTAAAGAGAAAAATGTATTTACATTTTCTAATTTTTTTTTCATACATTGATTGTAACATTATTGTTATTTTCCTTGTCAACAAGAGACTTTGCAACGAGAAAACATCTCCAGCTCAAGTGGATTAATGGCAAGAAAATTGATGATATACAAAAAACTATTTATCTCGTAAAGATCCTTTGCTTTTGTTGCATGTAAAAGTTTCAGATCAAAAAATAAAATTTTAATATTAACATCTGATAATTTGGGTTAAAAATACAATACAGTTTTCAGATAACAATGGTATTTTACTCTTGCAAAAATCACTTATCTGAAAACATGAAACAGGCCAAGAAGATGTCAAAAGTAACTCAGTAATCAATATGGAGGGAAATTTAACTTTTTTAAACATTCAAACAAAAAGTGATTCAAATCAAAAATGAAATTCTGATCAACACCTTTAGCATTATAATGAAATATTTTATTTTTGAAACTAGTTTTCCATACAAAGATCTATGTTTTTGTTTTTCATTAAAATTATTTTATCGGACAAAATGAAAATTTTCTACAAAACCTTCTGTTTTTAATCTGAATTGTTTATATTTTTCTCAAGAAGTGAAAAACAAAGAAATTGTATTTGCGCTTGTCAGAAATGTTTGGTTCCGATTCTCATATCTTTTGATTTCAACTGTTTTTGGTTGAACTCAAAGAAATTTGAGTGTTGAGAACAGGAGCTATGTGGGCGGGGCTTAAAAAGGAACAATGTAAGACGTGCTTCTATTGGTTAGTATCAATTAAAGCGACAGGCACTCAACCCTCCCATCTCTGCATTCGCTAAACTTTTTAGTAGCTGTTGAGTTACAACAACTTAGAGCTGGACAATATATCAATAACACATATTGTGATCAATATCAATAGATAATGTGTCTGACAGAATATTCAATAATTTCACTCAACTCTGATCTAGAACTGCACAGCATTCTGGGAGATGCAGGCATAGCAAAGGCTTTAGCTGCTCAACCTTTGACAGCTAGCCAAGCAAGCGGTTGGTGGAATCAACTCACTCATTCTATGGTTACCTAGCAACTCACTCATTCTAAGGTTACCTAGCAACAACCCCTTGAGTAACTTGAGCAGCAGCAGTTTAAGGTTTAGACACCCCTCATAACTGATTAAAAATAAAAATAAGCCATATGGAGAGACAATAGAAAATTACTATAACAGCTGAAGAGGACAACCTTGGATAAAACAGGAAAGATCACTAGTTTGTCAGGATTTCAAGTTTTTAAAACAAAAAAATAATCACTAAATATCAACATCAACTGACATCAAAACCCATATTTTGTGATACATATTTACATTATTTTTAAGTTGAACTGCTTTGATTAATAATGTTTATTTTTAAAAACCTGCCAAACCCAAATTCCCATTAATAAGAATAATGAGGTTTGTGTTTTTCCTGTTTTTAAGAAAAGCGACAGATCCGATTAAACGGATGAACGTGTTGTTTTTAGTGCTGGTTTCGCTTCATTATCGGACGGTTCCTGCTGCGTTCCTCTGACAGGGTGGAGCGGTCTCGCTGTTTATGTGCCGCGGTTTCTGTGTCCTGCTGACAAAGTCACAGCACAGACCGCTCCACACTGCTCACACTCCTAAAACACACACTAGTAATGCTACAAAATACAAATATAGTGCCTGACTCAACCCTCCCAGCCCACACACACACACACTCACACACATCAACAATAGCTCAGCTTGACCCAATGGAAAAAAGAGTGGCCGACAGTGACCCCCTGTGGCGAACTGAGAGAATTACCAGTAACTATATTTACCTTTGACAGTAAAGATTTTAAATATTTCTACCTTTAAGAACTAAAATTAGCATTTTTTAACTCAAACTATATTTTTTCTTAAGTTAAATATTATCTAAATGAATAAAAGACACAGTTAATAGTTTTGTCTAGACGGCTGAATTGTTTTTAGTTTTAGTCTGCTCTGGACTTTTTGCTGTATTTCCAAACAGCTTCCTTCTGCACGTTAAAACACAGCTGCGTTTTTGTTGGAAAATTAACTATTTTCTTTCACTCAGACTGAATTTGCATCCCTCACAACGAGGGAGTGGCATGGCTTATAAATCACCCTCTATCCTTCCTTTCTGTGCTTTGGTTCTTATTTGCATCAGTTTTATTTCTGGACACTTTCACTGTGATCTGTCTGCACTGAGCAACTCTGAAAACAACAACATTGAATGGAAAAATAAATGTGCTTTTGTACATTTGTCTTATATTTTTAACAATGTTTGTTCCTCAGTTATGTAATGTAAACTCATTTGGTTTTTTTATGTCTTTTCTAGTTTCTATTACAAACATCTTAGTTACTACTTGTTTTCTTGGCAGATTATTTATCTTATAACATAGGGAAAAAAATTATTTTTAATGAATATTAAGTAAATTTTGACCTAAAATAACCTCCTATTTCTTGCTGAAAACTTATTTAAGCTACTTTTGTCTTACTTCAGATGTACTAAGATATTCAGACTAGAAACTAGACCAAAATTACTTGGTAAGATTTAGTTGTTTTGCAGTGTACAGCCAAAAACAGTTTTGATACAATATGAAAATCGACAATCCCACCTGTAAATAGCTTTAGCTTTTTTCTTTTCAACCATCCATCTTCAAAAATGATCAAGCTGACACTTTCAGCTCTTGTTGGTATATTAGATTTCAGTTTTTATTGTTAATTGAGTGAATCCCCAGGTGAACCTACATGTTACTCCTTGGTGACCCATCGTAGTTCGCTCTTTTTGTTTTGTAGCTCTGATAGGTTGACGGCCGGGCCCGGTAGCTTCTGCAGAGGCTTCTTGTCTTCTAGTGACGGGGGACGCATCGGTAGTTCTGGTGGTTGAGCCTGCAGCAAAACAACACATAAACTGAATGAAAAACATTGAAATTAAAAATATAATGTGACACACATCCTGTTCAGTTCAGCTGAAAAATAAACAAACCGGCTGGTTGCTTACGTGTGGACACCCTTAAATTTGTTTTTATTATGTAAATCCTTCACAGCTTGGCTTTGCAGCTAAAGAACCACCGTACTGAAGGCAGAGAGATTTTAACATTTCTGCAAAAAACAGGAAAGTTTAATTAATCGGTCAGATGGTGAAAATCGTTGGTTTCATTATTTCATCACCGTTTGTCCATCAGACGGACTGATCAGCATCCAAAGGACCAGAAACGATGGATGGACGGATGGATGGAAGGAAAGTCGGATGGATGGATGGAGGATGGATGGATGGATGGATGGATGGATAGCAGGGTGTGAAAGCCAATCGTTTTTCCATTTTCTATTTTCTTCTTACTCCATAATTTTCCAGGATTTTCCAGGCTGTAGAAACCCTGGAAGCATCTGAAACCGGAGTCGTTCTCCTTTAAAGCCTCAGATTCTGAGAAATTTAGTTTCTCTGCTTTGTTTGTTCGGCTTGGCCCACAATGTGACCCGGCTTCATTTGCTTAGGGAAACACGAGGCGTGACCAAACAGGACCAGAGAGTCCACATGTGGAGGTGTTCACGCCTGATGTACGACTCTCAATCTGGTTCACAAAACTCAACAGAACCAAACCCAATGAGACAATTAGACAAGCAGAGTTTAGTTGACTCTTCCTTAAACTAAACAGCCGTGAGAATGCAGATCTGCAGAATGAAGCCAGAAAAAATAGGAGAAACCTGAAAATGCTAAAGGTTTGTGTTTCAGTTATTGGCCTTAAATTGTGGAACGAATTAAATGATCTCAAATTATGTCCCATCTTGCTTTAAAATGATAACGGCTTATGCTGTCGCAAAACATTCACATTTAAATATAAATCTTTGTATCTCTTCTTATATGAGCAGAATATATATTTTGTTAATGTAGGCTGCAGGTAGAGTTGGGTAATAACATTACCCAACTCTACCTGCAGTGTTTTTTAATCAATCAATCGATCAAATTTTATTTGTATAGCACATTTCAGCAGCAAGGCATTTCAAAGTGCTTTACATAATTAAAATGCAAACAGCATGTGACAGAATAAACAGTGTGAAAGAGATTTTGAAAAAGATTAAAACAGATAAAAACATTAAAACCCCTTTTAGGACTTCAGTTAAA